TATGTATGTATGTATGTATGTATGTATGTATGTATGTATGTATGTATGTATGTATACATGAATGCATGGAATGAGGAGAATATTCGCGTCGTTATCCTTGGCGCTTTACGAGATTCACGCTACCATATTAGCTTTCGTGTCCCGTTTTCGGAACTCCGTGCACTGAATGTTTAAATGGAAATTACTTCGTTTTGACGTTCAAGTTTTGAATTCCGCTTGAACTGAAACGTCAACCTGGGAAACCGTACTGTCTTCACTGTATGCATTTAAAGAAAAGTTCGCCTGTGTTGTTTCCTTTTCAACTTATTTGGGAATACAGTTATAGGATTGTGTGGTGCCTTTTTATGATTCTAAAACTGATAATTAAATGAACTGCGGTTCGATTCGGCATAGGTCTGGATAATACCCAGATCGCTTGTTTAACGATTTGTTTGTGTCATACAGCTTATGCAAAAGACCTATCATCTGAGTACGTGATTCGCTGATGAAATATGATCGATTTTCGACCAATGAACAGTATTCGGCATAAAACCTTTCCCTCCGCATGTATTGATCATAGCTACAAACAGAAAATATGAAGAAAAGGTAAATCGTTACCCGTGTCATTCTTTATTCAATGAAAAATGGAAATTATACGGCAATAATTGGAACTTTAAGAAAATCTGCTTCAGTTTCCTTTTTCCTACATTGTTTGTTTTGATTTCTCTTTATTCTATCCATTCTGAGTCAAAGTCATTCTGGGATTTTCGAATGAACAAACATCTTTCCTATCATTTGATTTCGTTGGTTAAAAATTGTATTTTTTATTATTGTTTTTCTGAGATTTTCATGTATCTGTTCTGATTTTCGCCCCCTGTTTATTTTCATCCATTTTGTCGTGGTTCTGAAGTTTGCGTCGAATTTCAACTCCGCAAATAACAGATATGGCATTTTTGCGACGACATTTCCTACGACGAAGTGAAGGTAAGCGTCTCTCCGCCGTAGCAGATGCACAGCAAATTGGTGGCAGTACGCGTCAACCGCGACGTCGCCCTGGTGCTGGTCTTTCTGGTCTGTTCAGCCAAGCACGGCATAGTGCTTTCTTCCCCAGCACGACTACCACAACAACGGTGACTATCTCGGACGTAAAAGAGACAGATGAGGTGCATCGGGACCAGTCGGACACATCATCCACTGATTGGCTCGGTCGCATTAGCTCAACAACTCCGCAACAGAAACCGCATATCTTTGTCGATTTACGTACATTTGCCGGTGGTAGTCCTGTAGTTGCATTAAAAGAAATTCTAGATGCGCAGGCAGTAGCAGATGCGAAAGCCTCGGCATTTGCTGAGGCCGCCGCTGTCCTGGCCGCAGCAAAGTTGGCCTCAGAATCATCCAATTCCAGCGCACCCAGTTGTGTCAGTGGCAGTGCGAATGCGAGTGCAACCAGCTGCAGCAAACCACGGACGAGTGCATCCAACTCACGTGACCACTTTCCGATTTCGAGTTCTGCTACAACAATTGCGAATTCCGCAATCAGTTCCGACGGGAATGGCGGCAGTGGGAATGGATCAAGGCAACAATCTAGGGTAAATATATCCACCGACGAACCAGAATCCGCGCCCGTACCACCCGTGCGGTAAGTTAGTCTGCTCGTATAGTAGGATGTTCACTCAGTTTCATCTCGTGTCTGAAGTTTCGCTATTTATTATATGCGGTTTTGTATTCGCCCGTCTCTGTTTTCTCCCATCAATGATAGAAACTAAGACCATTGCGTTTGGAGACTTTGCCATGGGTTTGGTAAACTCGATTCGGCACGAAGTGATCACCCTTCATTTAATTTCAGTCCCATTCGGCCAGGAACCAATCAATCACTTATCCCAAATAAATCCCGTTTGTCTGGCCATGCGAGTGACTAGACTGTTGGGTTGTGTATACGAACCGGAGGCGTGTGCATGAAAACTGGCTTTGTCTCCGTAACCTGAAAATCAGACTCAGTCAGTCAGACATCAGATTTGGTTTGGAAATTATTACTGGAAACGACATTTTCCACACACACATCACGTAACTAAGAAGATCATTCGCTTGTCTGTTTATTTCCCGATCAAACTAGTCTGGCAGACCGAGTGAATGGTGCACTGTAGATTGTACACTTGCAATAATGTTGTCCATTGTAATCTTACGAATGTTTGGATTAGAACACATTGCTCGTATGACAGCAGCATACATGTTTTTATTTATTACAGGCGTGAATAAAGTGAACGCTCTGATCTAAAAATATATTGTTCTAGATGATGAAGAAAACATTCAACCTCTTTCTCTTTATATATTTATGCATATATGTATACATAATAAATAGTATATGGATCACTAAAAAATTCCCCCGGAAGCACACGACCGGTTTCGCGGTTCTTGCCACTCGTCAGGCTGGCATATCTGGTAATCTTTTGTCAGCTCACTCATATTTGTACCGAAGAATTGTATTTTCGTCACAATAACCTTGTTTGCAACATGGGGTGATTTTTGAATGGAGAGCTGTTTCAGAGCCAGTCCATTGAAGAATTAATACTATGATTCGATGTTTTGTAGGTGGGTTAGATGCTACTAGACTGAAACTTCTGCACGTTGGAACTGGACCAAATACCAGGTGACTTACTCGCAATGAATAACCGCTTATCAAATCCGTTCCCGTGGTCATCAGTGAACTGTGGTCGGTACTGTGGAATGTTCAATAGATCAGTTTGATCTCTGACGGTGGTCCAGGAATCTTGCATCCTTCACGCATACTCTATATTTGACTTAACTGGCTTTGCTCACATCAGTCAATAACATTTCTTTCACGGTTTCATATTGTGACCACGAATGCACACATTCATTGCATGCGTTTTTTTATTTTACGGAAGCACGGTGTACCTCGAACATCTATGAGGTTTGGCCTAAATTTTTGACTCGCATTCGACAACCTCTCATCATGTAACATGCTGAATAGTCAAATAATTCCTTTGATTTGGTCACAATTTGTGCGTGGTACACTGTTACACTCCATCGAAACTAATTGAGCATTAGCCGTATTCACCAAGCCGGAAAGTTGTCTCATCCTTTACTTGAATCATCAACAATGCCTATCTTTACCACTAACCGACCCAGGATGTGTAGAGTTTTAAGTTTCACAAGTTACCACTCAGCTGCATTTGAAAAACTAGCGGAATCCGAGACTAAATGTCCGACAATGTGTCTGTGTATGTCCAACTCTCCTTTTCTTGGAAATCGTCTCATTGTCTTAAATCTAATGCTAAAATTTATGTAAAGTATCAAAGACACAAAGGAAGTCCGCAAATAATGTAATTACTATCCAAAATTGCATGTTTTCCTTCCATTAGACTGCCGTAATAGGATTAGGGTACACAGCTCTGGGCTAAAGGAATGGTGATTCAAGCTGTTCCTACTCATTGTATACCTCAACTTTTCCCGCCAATTGCATATCGTAATGCTAACCAAGTGGGTTTGAGGTTTTTTACTCGCTTTCTTCTTGAGACACCATGTAGAGGAATTTTCGGATGTTTATTTTGGTCACACTACAAAAATAAAAGCGTTCATAAATTTTCTATCCTTATAGACTGCATTCACTAGGTCGTGGACCTCAACGGCCTCTTCCTCAAACTCCCGGTGGAGACGGTGTCACCGGTGGTCAAGTATGTGCTCCGAAGCCCGTTATTGTACGGGGTGGCTTTCGCGCAGATAAAAACACTGCCTGTTTGAGTGAGGAGGATGTAACCGGAGTGGCACATGATTTGCCCATCTCAACCAGTGAATCCACAGCCAGCAGCCCAGGTGGTCGCGTATTGACCAACGGTCATGGACAAGATCACTCAGTTGCACCCTGTCTCCCAGCACGCAGCGGTACCACATCATTTTTTGCCGGATGGTCTAAGTCTGCTGGTATGATTCAACAACCGATGTCAACATTCGCTGAGTTTCCCCGGACCGGGTATGTTGATGACCTAATATTCAGTGATTTGGGATTACTCTTCATTGTTTCCATTTCTTTATGAGGTCTGTCACGGAGGAAATTGACCTTGATCCCTAACAGAAAGCGTTGTCAAAGTTTTTAGTAAAACATCTGATGATACGTTTAGTTGAAGCGGTCATTTCAGTTCATTGCGAGCAGCTGTCACCCGTCTTTGTCCTCGCTTTGCCTTTTGTGGATTATGCTAGGAACTTGCGTTTCATTGATACTATCGGATTTTGCCATGGATGGCATTGCAGTTCAACAGCATGAAAAAGATAGAAGTTTACCGGTTATATTGCGTTGATCGCTCAAACTACACAATCTACCTGGAGTACGAAAACAGGGTTGCATATCTAGTACCGTCGTTGCATACTGACGATGTATGACTGCTTTTTACTTTTCGATTGGCATCAATTGACAATGTAAGCTGCCTAATCCCTAGTAATGAAGTTAAGTCCTGAAGTTCCCCCTCGGATTTGGTGATTCACTCATCATGATCAAGTTTTTCATTTGGGGGGACTTTTCGGTATCTTTGGCTTTTACACCCGATTGCGCTTTGCAGTGCTAAAGATGGATTCCAATATGATATTTCGCACATATTTGATCCGAACCATGTACCAAAGATTTCTGGTACAACAATCTTCTGTCCGTCGTTTGTTGAAGAATGCTGCTAGGTTTCTCCAGTTCGAAGCAAATGATTTTCTTAAGAAGCCGTCTGGTACCCAAAACCCTGCCCCGCAAAGTAGCGGGTGAATGTATGGCAATTGCTGTCCCATTTGTCCAAAGCTTCCACATTCACAAAGTCCACTGCACTCTGTCATTCAATCGTCCAGGTGCCTGTCTGTTTTTTTCACTCTTTTCTGTTGCACGGCAGTATTGGAGAATTTGATTCGATTACAGAGTGGGTTTCGTGATTTACACAGCAAACGAAGCGTGAACTGAAAAGCTGAGATGCACTGTGAAGATCAGCTACCCAACTGTGGTTTAAACGCCTGATAATGCCCCCAGATATTGCCCTCTCGCTTCAATGAAAAAGGTCGTCACAAAATGCTAGTGAATAGGACTTACTCTGCAAGTACATTCACGGCGAGGGTTTCTCTTGTCATAGTTGTAATATTGAAATTAACTTCTCGGGCACACCTTTCAGAGAAAGGCAGCGCCAGAGCTTAGAACGGTTAAATGAGTCGAAAACCGCTTTCAGACCCAGGAACACAGAGATGGTAGGTCTATGAAAGGAATGTCGGTGCTCCAGAGTTTGGCGAAGAGTGAAGATGTGGTCGATACAACCTCGACTAGGTCTAAAGCCAGCCTGGTTCTCACGCGTACACCGTTCACGTGCGGCAGACAATCGACAGAGTATGAACAGTTTACGCTTACCGAAAATGGCTACGCTGGCACTCAAGCTATTCAGAAATGCTTATAACTTACCTGGGTCTTCACCTAGCAGCACAGTGTCGTCTGCATGCTCCAGATCAGACAGTCTGCCACCTAGGAGCAAACCGATGTCACTATCCTCGTACTAGGATAGGGCTGTCTCCATAATCAAATTTATAACAAAGTTAAATAGATAAGAAGAGGGCAATCCTGACGAACACCACTTTCTGTAGTGGATCCTCTTAAAGAAGTATCGTTTGTTTGGACTCAACTTCAGTTATCTAATGTTGCTTTGCGATCATTGGTGCACATAGTCCATTGCAACTAGTCTAGATGAATTCTGCTCATAATGAAACGGATAATGTGAAACGACAGAAGTTCACTATCTAGTTAAGCTCAAGTAAACGCTTTTGAAACCTTCATTAATCAGGAGTCCGTATAGAGAAAACAATGATAGCTAGCCATACGTAATGATCACCTTCCTTAATTCTCCTCTTGTTCACTACCTCTGGTTCCGTAAATAGACTTGAGTTGACTTTCAAGGTTGAATGTTTGACTTCATTCTATGTGGTCATAAAAATAAATCAGACATGGATGCTCCAGTTTCAACCGACTGTTTCTCATCACGTCCGAGTACTTGTCACCTCCCCCGTCCCACCTACGAAAAAAGGAACTTGCCACTTTTGTACTGGTCTCGGTTGTGAGCTATCTTTCCGTTGTCCAATTTTGTTGTAAAAATGTATGTTCTTTATCAATCTTGTCTTTAGTGATTATCTTTTGATTAATAAATCCCAGTTCATATCACTCAGCGTTTAGAATTAACGTTTTTATTGAAGACTGAGGGCGGTGGTAACGTCACCAAATTATCATCTTGTGAATGTGTGTTCGAATCCCACCACCACGGCCTAACTTTACCCATTGTTTATTGAATGGGGATTGATTGACCGATTCCCTCTTCCTGACCATAGTATCTTTGCATATTTACTAAAAGGAAGTAAAATGCAAAAAGAAAAAAAGAGAGTAAAAAACAACGTTTCGCATTCCATTGGGAGTCGGTGTCCAATTCATCGGACAGGGTCAAACATCCAAGGTGCCCAATACACCTCCATGCCAAGTCGACCACTGCCACAACCGATAAGATGTGTGCGGTTCTTGCGCCTCCTCTTGGTTGGTTTTGAATCAGGGATTTTGATCAACCCTTCTAGGTGAACTATCAATAATTCACCAACTCGGTTATAGCCCCGGATATCGGTTGTTCGTCCTCTCGGTTTGGTGGGAAAACATCTCCGTCCCTCGGGAAGGCAGTGAGTAGGGCTTCCTCAGCAGAGGCTATTTAAAACGCTTGATCAGCCGCAAACATGGACAGCCCCCCCCCGGACCATATTGAGGCTTTCAGAGTCTATTAAATTCGGATTTCCTATGCAACCATTTTCTCTCACATGTCTATAGGATGGAACCCCTAATGCAAGCTGAAACAGGATTGATATCGATCATCGAGTTCACAAGCTTCGAATCAGCTATCCACGCACGTTTAACGTGTCACGGCAGGAAGACTTAGGTATTGTTGTTCAAGAGGATTTAAGCTGCTCCATCAATTGTGCTATGGCTTCGTCTGCTGCTATGAAGAATGTCGGCTTACTTCGGCGAGTCTTTGGCCGGTTTGAATCATCACTATTCCCATGTCTGCTATCAGCGTACGTTCGACCCTATACAGAGTACGCCATCCAAGCTTGGAGTCCATGGCTTCAACGTGATCGCAAGATGCTTGAACGTCCGCAAAAGATGGCCATCAAGATGGTCAAGGGATTTCATTACCTGACATACGAGGAGAGNTTCTGCTCAATACCGCCGAACTCGAGGAGACTTGATTTTGACGTATCAAATACTGCAGAATCCAAGCCATCCCTGTCGATCGCTTCTCATGTTATCGAACAATGTACACCTAGGGGGACATCGTTTCAAACTACTGATTCTCAAGTGTCGACTGGATTGCCGGCGCCAGTCTATTGCTGTCAGAGTATGCACATCTTGGAACGCCCTTCCATCTCATGTCGTTTGTGCACCCATTATCGAATCTTTCAAGCAGAGACTCGACGAAACCTTGGCACACCTCACATTCGTACACCACTAAAAGCAAACGGAAATTCACTGTAGCCTACATTCTCTATTATCTCCTACCAGGAACTCTATGTGACTCCTTTTTTGATGTGCAACGATTCATCTGTGTAAATATCCTATGGGACAAGAGAAGCACTGGCTTGTAAGTTATTCCCATAATAAAACTTTGACTCTGACTTCACACAAACAAAACGCTACATGGTCACCTACTTAATTACGGTGGGCGAAGTGAAATTTCCTGCCTTAGTCATTTACAGTTGCACGATTATAGAAATAACCAAAAATTCAAAAGCTAAGTATATAAAGGTTTTTAGGTCGGTGAACAGATGAAATCTGTTTGTCGGCGTTACGTCCATGCGGTGTTCTGCCCAGAAGAAGCAATACAGTTCGTGTATGGATAGTAAACAACTGAAGATGACTTTGCTGAGATGCCGTTTGCCGGGTTCGTACTCGACGGTTAGCAGAAGAGTTTCAAAGAACTTCAGTTACTTCATTTTGCAGTAGCATCAAGCTCTTGATATGCTCAGTTAGCTTGGAATTATCTTTCTTCGATTCATTCCAAAAACTGGTACATTGCGTCTCTGTTATTTTTAAACCCTAAGATACAACCCACTTTCATCACGTTCCACTTTTCATGCACTATATTCCCAAACTTGGTCAAAGAACTTGGAAGTTTCGTTTTATTTCGGCTTTCGTTAACACAGTCCAAGTTTGCTTAAAGTCATTCTGAACATACCCTATTACGCACTTTGCTCTGTCTTTTCTGATAACTGTTGAAGGATGCCCTCGTTTGCCGTATCCGACCGAAGAACGCGCCATTCAGACCGTCCAGATATGCGGCGGTTTTCGCAAGGGCCACATTCTACTGCTGCTGGGCCGCTTGAACCGGGGGTTCACTGGACAAACGCTTGCTTATCGCATGGTTTATCGGATCATTCTGCGCTTGCTGAACCGATCCCAGGTCCGCTACATGTGATTGCTGAGAGCGGCACATCCAATGTACCCTGGAAACACGGCCCTTTCAGACCGGACTGTATGCTATCACAACCGACCCCAGCTCCGGTCATGTCCGCCTCGACCATTTCCGCTGAAACACCCACTCCGACTGCCACACCGACGCCTACTCCGAGTCAAACTCCCCAACCTTTCGGCAATCAGGTACTTATAAGTCGCGAAGATTGTGAATTTCTACGACACGCTCCGTGGTATCAGGCCTTACTTCCACGAGAATTGGCTTTTGAATTGCTAGCTAAGGAAGAGGTAAGTCTAGGTGTTTGTCCATTTTTTACTGTCATACTCATCTGTTTTGTCTATTGGTCTCCAATGATTTGCCCATAACGTGAAGTTTAGAACGGGTGGGACTATTTTCTTCAGTATTTTTCATACTACTGATAAGCTCCAATAATCACCGGGTGTCAGTGGCAGAACGGAGAGAACGGAACGTCCTAGCGTCTAATAGTCTCATGTAACTTCCAATAGCGTACCCAAATGTTGGATGTTGCTAATTTTTTCTCATATTAAACCTGCCTAAACTCTCGGATCCAACACAGTGGAAAACAAGACTGTTTTGTCATATCGTACCATTATTATCAATCAGTTATTTTCGTGATAAATATACGGGATAATATACAAATCTAGATTTATAAGGTGTCTGTGTTAGGACAAGCGTAAAGCGCTTCCAGGTACAAGTTCATCAAATAAGAATGTGACTGCACGATGTCACATGATATCACAAAAACGGGGCAGCTCGCGACTATTTCAAACAGAGA